AAGAACGTCGAATCTGAATCACTTGAAAAAAACACGGGGGTGCTTAACTTTTTTCTAGGTGTATATTAAACATTTTGTGCAAAATATAAAAATCTGTAGAGTTCTGGTGATTTCATTATCTAAGCTACTGATTGCATCATGCCCTTCATGTATGGTCCTGTATTCAGTATAAGGTAAAATAAAAAAAAATCTGAGATCTATCTTTGGACAAATAGAGAATTACAAACCTTTGTAAATTTCTTCCATGTCACATTACTTAGAATGCCTCAGATGTTAAGATCACTGTAACGTATGCAATCACCAAAATGCTTTTATTAATTACAAAGCTAGAACGATTAGTGGTAACAGCAGACTTACTGGTCAGATAACAGATGTCAGACAACTCTGCCTTAATAAATAATGTTTCATTTCTTGATTTTCTGGAACCAGTACACATTAGCTAGCAAATCGTTTTCCTTCTTATCATGTACTTCTTATAGAGAGATGTTCAGCAAAGAATACTTTATGTGTATAGCTGTATTATCTGTTGGAATTTGGTTATTGTGTTTTATATCATAAAATTATGTAATTCAGTGTTAAAGATTTATTGGGAAAATGCTGTAAAATTATCACCAATATCTTTAATGCTGTACTTCAGTCACAAAAGTAATATATATATAATATGATACACACACACATTTGATAGTTTTAACACACCAGTAGAAAGTTTTTAGTATCAGGAATATACATTAACCATTGTTACTTATTAGATACTTGAATACAGTTTACATCTTTGACATATGTAGTTAAAAAGTAAAGCTGTTTTAAGAGTTGCTAAAAAATTAAAAGGGAGAATTTTGTATATAGACTTTAAGTAGCAAAATTTTTTAAAGACAGTGGATTCATTGTTTTATTTTTCAAACAGTCAAGGTCAAATACACAAGTAGATACTGCATCGCTCCAAGCAATCCGAAACAATGTGCCTGGTAACACTCACTGTGTGGACTGTGATGCATCGAGTAAGTACTGGTGTCAGAGGTGGGAAAACTGAAAGAATATTTATGGTTATTTTTGATCAAAGTTCTAGTGAGTAAGTACTGGTGTTGGAGGTGGGAAAATGGAAAGAATATTTATGGTTATTTTTGATCAAAGTTCTAGTGAGTAAGTACTGGTGTCAGAGGTGGAAAAACGGAAAGAATAGTTATGGTTATTTTTGATCAAAGTTCTAGTGAGTAAGTACTAGTGTCAGAGGTGGGAAAACGGAAAGAATATTTATGGTTATTTTTGATCAAAGTTCTAGTGAGTAAGTACTGGTGTCAGAGGTGGGAAAACTGAAAGAATAGTTATGGTTATTTTTGATCAAAGTTCTAGTTAGTAAATACGATATGATAGATGGGAATGGTACTAATGTTCTTGGTCAGCTTTAGGTTTTGTTCTAGTAAATAAACACTAGGATGAAATGTGGAATATTGTGGTCCTTTACAGTTACAGCTTGATATTTCTCTATAACATATTGCTAAGGTACTAATGTATGACAGTTAAACTATAATTGCTGATTTTTTTCTAAACAGTTCATTTAACAAATTGTTTGTGGGACCATAACTTTGTTAGCTACAGAGCCCCTAACAACACAGAACTGCATAGTAAAATGTAAACAAAAATACCATTAGCATAGGTATAGAGGTCTGCCTGATACAACTCAGTCCCAACTCATGAAAGATTCATTTATGAGGTGTATAACGTTAAAACTTATGTCCACTGGCCTGTCTGATGGCACTCATTCCCAGCTTGTATAGGCCCACTTCTAAGATGTACAAAATGAACATTGGTGGGTCGCAGGGGGCCCACCTGTTGCACATTTGCAACTTGTGAAAGGCTCATCTGTGACCAGAACTGGCACAGATATTTTTTATGCTTCCTATACCCACACTAACCCCTACCATATTGTTACATGAAACAGTAAAAAATGGGATTTTATTTTATTTATATTATGATATAGGATATTCTTTCACATAGATAACAGTAATAGGCATATACCATTGAAAAATACCATCAATATTACCTTTAATCCTACTAATTACTGCTAGATTCCCCTATATATATTTTATATAGAAAAGGAATGATTTCACAATAATTGTTTGATCTGGTCTTTAAAATGAGCATTCTAACAAACCAAAATGTAAAATTACTCAATTTGTGGACCCACACACATGCACGCACCCATAGAGAACAGTGTAAAAACAAGCTGGTATTTTGAGAATTAAAAATGATTTATGGTAAATGGAGCAACTTTTTGACAGAGCATTGCATCATTAAAATAAATCATAAACACAGATTTTAACATTAAATTGTAATTAACTGTTCATTGATTTTCACATGGAAAAACATGGTGGCAAGTATACAGTTAATATTAACTTCCAATCAAAGCAAAAGTCAAAATCAACCTCGCAATAAATATAGCTAATTAAATGTTATTTTTAATGTTTTTCTTATAAAGATTAAAATAAAATGCATTCTTTCATCAGTTAGTACACTTTTTGTTAACAGTACTTTTAGTTACAAACCCAATAATATTTCAAGATTCGTTCAGCTTAGAAGAGTTAGGTTAGTCCAAAATGCATGTATCAAGCTAATAATGTAAAAAAAAATCTATTATAAAAGTATAGTATGAAAATATTGAAATTAGACATGCTAAACATTCTAACAAATACAGCTGATGAAAGTAACATTAAATAAAGTAAAACTTACAAACACCAGCTGTTAGCTTTAAGTACTTCAAAAATTTCATATGATATTAGGTAAATGAATTTATTTTTTGTTACTAAGTATATATTAGTAATATGTGTAGAATATGAAAAAAAAATTAACTGTTTTAATATATCCTTATTTAATATTGATAATCAGTATCTATATTATAATATTGGTATTTATTTTAACATAATAAACTTAAACCTCAGATTTAATTAGTTCCCTAAAGCAGTTAATTGTAAATGTTGCATCATTTGTAGTACGGCTTGATAGCTTAGTTTACATTATGTTGCTGAGCAAAAAATGTATTGAATGTTCTTGTTTTGCTTTTTTTTTACATGCACTGGTGAATTTTTCATGTAACATATTTCTGTATTCACCATTAATAATGCCAGAGATAATGTTGATGTATGATTATGTAGTTTATATTCTAAATTAATACCGATGATTTTGTACTATACTGCTCATTGATATTTTACTTTGACAGATCCTGATTGGGCAAGTCTCAATCTAGGAGCTTTAATGTGCATTGAATGTTCAGGGATTCACAGGAATCTAGGATCTCATATATCAAGGGTGCGTTCTTTGGATCTGGATGAGTGGCCGTAAGTAATACTCAAGATTGCTGTTTCAGTTAACAAAAACTTCTACATATAGTACCTCTGTCTGTACCTTCAGGGCTGGTGCTATGAGATAGTAGGGGCTGTAGAATAAAACTAAGTTTCCTGATTAATTTATTTTCCCAAGTTGCTTTGTGTTTATAACATCATCTCTTTTGTTATGTTTCTCCTAGTTGAGCAACTCTGCCATAAGTAGTGTATGAGAAATTGTATTCAGAAAATACGGTTTCCCTCTCTGTACAATAGTAATTTCTTACATGTGGTATACATGTAAGGCAATAGCTAAACAGGAAACTTGTTTAGGGTGGCATAATATCTGGTGCTTAGCCGCTTACAAATAAACAGAACTTCATTGATGACCCGTGTAGCTGTATGACAGAATGTGTGAAATAGTCAGAATAGTCCATGCCGTAAATGTGTTAATAATTAATACAGATTTTAACACTAGTTATTTCACACCAGGTTTTGTACTCTTCTGTAACATTGGGTGGTTTCTTCTATAATATATGGTGAACTACTGAATTACAATTTTCCAGAACAGATTTTATCTTCATCTGTAATGTTGATTAATTCACTGATATGTTATCCACGATTCTGTCAATTTCTTCAGAAGCATAGGATAAATAATTGACATGCACATTTTCACAAAGGTTTTACCATTGTTAGTAACGTCAATCAATGAGGTAGTACTTGTTATCTCTGCATCAGGTGATGACTTGAGGAGTATACTAGACTTCTGTGATACACATTTCTACATGTTTCATCATTGTTAGTGACATCAGTTAACTTGGTAGTACTTGTTGTCTCTGCATTGGGTAATGATTTCAGGAGTATACCAGACTTCTGTGATACACATTTCTACAACATATTTCATCATTGTTAGTAACATCAATTAATATGGTAGTACTTGTTATCACTGTATCAGGTGATGATTTCAGGAGTACATTAGATTTCTTCCACAGGTTTTACCATTGTTAGTAACATCAATTAATTCGGTAGTACTTGTTATCACTGTATCAGGTGATGATTTCAGGAGTACATTAGATTTCTACCACAGGTTTTACCATTGTTAGTAACATCAATTAATTCGGTAGTACTTGTTATCACTGTATCAGGTGATGATTTCAGGAGTACATTAGATTTCTTCCAAATGTTTTTACCATTGTTAGTAACATCAATTAATTCGGTAGTACTTGTTATCACTGTATCACGTGATGATTTCAGAAATATAGGTGAAATAAACTTTTCACATACTAAGTTATATTATGATACACTTTTGATGTAATAAAATTGTGAAAGTTATTTATGTATTTTCATAATTTTGACAGGCTGGAACACATTAGTGTAATGATGTCTTTAGGCAACACTATAACCAACAGTATATGGGAAGGCAATACTAGAGGCCGAGCTAAACCTACTCCTAATTCAAGCAGGTAAAGATTATGATATTTTAATATGCTGGAACTCCTACCCTTTTACTGGATTGTATATATGTAATAATGATATAAAATGTGCCCATATGTATCCACTGCAATATGATGCATGATAATTTTCCACTCAGATATTTTTATTGCTGTTTCATAGTCCTCTTTATTTTTTATTTTTATAACAGATATTCACAATTTCTTCAGAATGTGAAGCGATTAAAAAATTATTGTGAAGTGTTACGCTTCAGTTGAATGCTAAACCTTTTTTTTGTGTTTTATTGTTATAGAGAAGAGAAAGAACGGTGGATAAGAGCAAAATACGAGTTCAAAGATTTTCTTGCACCCATTAATACTACCATCTCTCTAGGCCAGGTATGATATAGTGACTGATGTTGTCATTATTTAATTTCTATGGTGTAATAACTAATGCAGTAAATAATATGAGCCTGGTGATGTTAACGGAAGATGTCTCACTTTGAAATAGCCAAAAGCTTGCTACAGAAATAAAGACGTGGCATTCACATATTGTAACAAAATAGTTTGGAGTCGTCTTTCCCATGTTACAAATCTACATCAGCAGTAACCTTAATCTCTCAAACTCTTTTAAAGCTCTCCAGAATAACTGTCTGCACAGAGTAATGCAAAAGTCTTACAGGTGTTCAATGGTTTACTACAGCATTTATGATAAACCACAGAACTAACTTCACAAAACTAGTATGCAAATTACCAACACTTGTGTGATAATAATTAATATGACTCAGTCCAACTCCCTATACAGCAGGAGTACCCTTTCAGCCATAGGGGTGTTATAACGTAATGGTCAATTCGTTGGTAAAGAGTAGCCCAATAGTTGATGTTGTTCACTGGCTGCCTTCCATCTAGTTTATTACTTCTATTAGAGGTGGCTTGTACAGTACAGAAGAAAATAAATTAACAACTCAACTTTAAAATAAATTAACTTTCAATTTTTTATCCATGTGTATATGTGGTAAGATGTAGAAATTTTTTTTTGCATTTATATCAGTGTTTAAGATATTGTACTGAATTCCTTTCAACCACGTTGCTAAAGTAGACTTTTTACAATAATATCATTAATATAGATAGGATATCAGTCAAATATTCTAAGATTAGAATTCATATAAATAATTTTTGTAACATATTAGAAGACTATCAGTGAAGAATAACACTTAAACTTTTAGACAAATATTCAAACCAAACCACAAAAAATTGGTTCTTATAGTGTCAAAGCATGTTGTTACTTGGTATTAGCTTAACAACTCAATACCTTGAATTTTTACCAGTTCTTGTATGTCACTTGTCTTATTAGGATTTTACTAAAGTTCTTTTTAATATTCTTGAACTTATTTTGTATATTAAGTAACCTATTATCTGAAGTGTTTGTGATTGTAATTTTGTCTTTTCTTTTTTACCTTTCCAGCAATTAATTGATGTAGTATGTAAGTCAGATATTAAGGCTGTGGTTCTCATTTTGGCCCGGATAACCTCGGCTGACCTGGTCAACACAACGGTGAGTCAGCGTGATCTCCGAACCCCTCTTCATCTTGCTGCAGCTCTAGGAAACCTGGCTGTGACCCAGCTGTTAATATGGGTAAAATATTCATAATGCGATATTTGCACTTTAATAAAAGTAAAATAATTTGTGGTTGATTTCTCCTGGCTAGTAGTATATCTATTTATTGTTTTACCCTCATTGTGTTAATTCAAAATATTTTAGTATCTTGGAGGCTGGTTTCTTGATAGTGAGATGGCTTTCATTTTGATACCTCAGAGCTTTAACCAATACTCCATTGACTAATATAGATAAGCTTAGTATTTTAATAGTAAAAAAGAAATTATCTTTTTAGTAATTCAAAATCAATTTTTGATCATCACAATATGTTACACATGTCAATAAAATTAGTAATTTAAATGATGTCAAGCAAGGGTTGATTTTATGCTTCTAGGTCAAGTTGTGAGCAAATCATAAACCGCTTTTTGTTTTGTTCCACAATTCGGGAACAAATTAAAATTATGTTTTATAAGCCTAAAAATTACCCTTTTTTTTTCAGCTTACCAGATTTTGTGTTAGTTTTGCTAGTTTGCATTTAATAAAATTTTTTCTTTTAAAATTAATCAAGCAGAAGCACTGTTATGTTTTGATACTGACAAGGCCTAGTAGTTAGGGTGCTCAACTCGCAATCTATGGTTCATGGAATCAAAAACCTGTCACTGAACATGATCACCTTTTCAACCGTGGGGGTGTTATTATGTGATAATCAATCCCAATGTTCTTTGGTAGAGAATAGCTCCAGAGTTCGCTGTGTGTGTGCTGTTGACTAGTTCCCTCTAGTCTATCACTTCAAAATTAGGAATGGCTAGTCCAGATAGCATTTGAATAGCTTTGCTCATAATTCAATAAAACAAACAAAATATATATGACTATATCTATGTACATTGTCATTTAATAACAATAAATTAGCACAAAGAAAAAGTGTAACAAAATTAGAATTTTCTGAAATAAGTCATTATTTATCGAAATAAGTGTTATCCACATTAAAATACACTTCAGGTTTTTTTATAGTATTAGCTAAAGGTCTGATCTGCTGTTCTTTCCATTTCTTTTCTAGCATAATGCCAATGTAAAGGCTGTAGACTCTGAAGGAAGAACAGCCCTAGTGTATGCAAAAAACTCAGGCTCACAAGAAATACAGGACTTATTGATAAACAGTGGTTGTCCTGATCTTGGGAGTCATACAACAGGTACTCTACAGCGTAGACGTGGAAGTGTCTCTAAAAAACCTTCGGAGGTATTTGACAAGTTACCTGCAAGTATTATTTAAATTCAGAAAGAAACAGAAGGGTGATTAATGCTTCTGTAATTTGTTGTAATTTTTTGTAGATATTGCTTGTAGCAGAGAAATGTTTTTCTTCGCATGTGATGTGAACGTTGAAGGTTTTGTAGCCGTTCTCTTCACAAGGTTCTCTGCTGTTAATTTTCAGTAGCAACAGACACTTTTAGTGTTTATATGTGATATGAATGAACTACTCAATCAGCTTTGGAAGAAAGCACTAAAATTATATTAAATGTAGTTAAATGTTTTATGGTAACATCTACTCTTAGAAGCTGTTAATAGACACTGAAATAGAATTTTGTTAGAGCCTTAATTAGTTTAGCTTAAGCAGCAAGAGAATCAAAGTTCAAGCTCTTCACTTTCAGCAGTTGTCATTGTTGCATGTTGGCCATTAATTCTGTATATACACTTACAACACTGCAACATACATTTTATCAACTATAATTATGCGAGATGACGGCTACGGATGTCCTTACACATCCTTTGATGCTAATTGATTAAACTAATGTTACTGGTTTACATGTAAGTGCTCTTCAACATTTGCAGATATCACAAGTTTGCATGCACAGTAGGTGACAAAGGTATTACAAATAAATAGGCCGTTCGTAGTGTGTGATATGATGTCACAAGTAAAAACAGCCTTCGTTGTTCACACTTAAACTAAACTAACATTGAGTGAAACATTAGATAGGAAGTCTGAAAACTGTTGAGAGCTAATCTTCTTTTAGAATTAGATAAATATTCAGAAACTTATTTTATACGTAGATTGATTTCATTGAGAAATAAAAAACAAGATCCATTCTGTTTATCATCATTGAGTACAATATACGTCTTAATTTGACCGTTAACTCCTCGCCAAAATACTATAACTAAAGGAAATTTTTATAAATATGAGGCTACTATACAACTGTTGAAATTTCTCCTACTGTGTTTGTTGATCAATTTTTTTTATGAGAGGTTTTGAATGAATGAGCAATAGCTAATTCAAGTATATTTAAAGTTTTCTAGCATTGTTGTATTTACAGGCCTGGTGTAATTTATTTTCCTTTTACATTGCCATTGTTAATTGATTCTGATATCTTTATGTATTATAAAATCTCAGTTCAACTAACATTCACTCAGAATACGGAGAAACCTAAAACATCGAGAAGAGTCCACATATACCTGTTAATAAAAAAAAAAAACATTTAATTTTTGTTATAGTGTGAGTGTGTTTGGTGAAAGATAACCAGTGAAATTATTTTATTGACTTGTATTCCAACCTAATAATTGTTTATATTGTAGCAGTTTTTCTACAATATTAAAATAAAATCATTAAGTGTTCTACTAACTGAGCACGCAGTATTGCGAAAAGTGTAGTAACGTTGTTATAAATGTTGTATATAGAGAAGTCTGCCATGAGTACTATTTATAATGGGTAATGCAACACAATATATTTTGATTTTCTTTTTTTTTATATATAAAACGAATTTTCTTGTGATTGAATTGTACAATCTAAATTTTATTGATTTACATTAATATATTCTATTTATTTATTAATTATCCAAACAAAAAAATTTTGGCAGCTCACCTGTATATTTAAAATTTCTGTATGATCTATTATAATTATGGGAAATTAAAATTTTCAAGTGCAAATTTTTTTATAGTACAAAAAATAAACAGTTTGTTCCTCTTTCTTGTGCTGGTTATTAGGGATGTTGAAATTTGAAGTGAGTGGTTTGGATTGTGTAATACATTAATATATTTCCTATATACAAAGGTATGCAAAATAGTTTCCTAAGTAGTTTTACTTATATGTAGGATGTTTTGGTTTCAGGTTTTAAAAGCTGAACACTTAAAATTAAAAAACATTACCTATATACATGTATATTGGAAAAAAAACTTGTTTAAAAACGTCTTTGTAAGGCACAAATTCTTCATAAAATGTATTGTTTGGCCTGAAAATGAACATTTTTATCTGGAGATAAATGTCAGTTTAATAGGTATGGTATGTTAAATTATGGTTTACTCTGTGGATTAATGTGTGATAACTCTTAACTGGTTGGTTAAGGTAATCTGAAGACAACCTAGTATAAATGTAGGCTACAAATGTCTTCGTTTTTTAAATGTTGTTTGTCACAAAGATCTCAGCCTTAAATGATTATTAGAGTACTTATATCTTTCAGAAGAGTGTTGATAAGATTACACAGTTGAATAAAACTATAGAAAATGTTTAAACATTCGTATAAAATAAAGCAGTATTCTTATTCTGCTGTACATATTTTAGTAAGTTAGTTCATGAGTAGTGATTTTGCAAGTACTGAACATGCAAAGCCATGGATCAGACTGTAATCTGAAAGTTAACCTTGAAAGGTAAGGTTATTTTTTGGTGTCACTAACAGCTTTTCCTTGAAGTGTAATTTTTCATCCATTCTTTGAAAAATTAATGGTTCAGAAACTATTTGTTGTGAAATAACCTTTTTTTTTTGTTTAGCTTCTTTACTGCTTAACAATATTTTACAGTCTTTCAGTTTCATCTAAGTTATTTAATTATTGTTTGAAATGCATATGATTTGTAATATGAAATTCCTGTGAGCAGTTTTAATATAAAGTGTTCAAAAAAATATGAAGTCCAATTTTCTCTGAAAATCTATTGAGCAATGAAGAATTTTGCTGAGTGGAAGATTTTCCCTTTTATACGAACACATTTGATTTAACATTTTATAATATTCGTCTTATGATGATATTAAACTATCACAAATAAATGTATCTTATGATTTCCGAAAGAAAATGGAAGGTGATGCGTGAAACTTTGACCATTTTTCATCACATTGGATTTCTGATTATCTATCAAAATTTTTTGACAGTTATGTTTTCTGTTCATACTTTTATAATTGAAGAATAGCTAGACAGTAGTAATAAACCTTTCCAAAGTCACTTTTGTTGGCTTTCTGCACAGAAAGCTGTACTACTATAGTAGAGGTGAAAAATCTCTTATAATTGTTTTTATTTCAATTAAACAAAGGTGGATTATTATTAGTGAATGTTTATCCAATTTTGAGAGATTCAATTTAAGATATAGATATCAGATTAAATTCTTACCCACATTCCGTGCATTGCAGGTAGGAAAAGGCTTATATAAAATATGAGCTGATTTGCTAAACAGTAAAAAAAAGGTAGAATAAGTATTCGTTTATACCTTAAAAACTTGATTGCTAAGTTTGTGTTCAGTAGTATTAATTTTACATAATCAGTGTTTTATAGAAAACTCAAAATTTAAAGTTGAAATGTTGTTCCTAATATTTTAAGTGAATTTCTCTTTTATTTTCTCCTGTTTTTTAAAATCTTTGGGTTTAATGCTAGATTAAACAAAACTGTTATGTAACTCGTGTGTATTTTACTTACTTGAAGAACTATTGTTTTTATACTTATTTTAATAAGATCAGGTGGACCAAACTGTGAAGTTATTGTTTTTGCCTTATTTCTATCAGAAATTTAAATTCTGTGAGCTTTTTTTTAAAGTCTACCTTTATATTTATTCTGTTTTTTTCATTTTGTCATGATTGTTTTAAGTAATATTTGTTGTAGTAGAAGCTTGTTTTTATAGCAGTATCAAAAATATATTTGTAGTTCAGTTTTAGAATCATTTCTGATTTTTTAAACTTTACTTTGTTGGAACAGTGTACTCTGTTCCAGTTTTTGTCCTCATTGTTGGAGGTATTAAAATATGAATCGTGTGGGTGTGAATATAAAACATTAGTTTAACATACCTTTCCAATATTGAGGATAATTTTATTGTCACACGTCTTCAGAGGGATGTCTCATAAATAAAAATAAATACTTTTTGTAATTGTACCATCTGTATATTTAAAAGCGAAAATATTTTCACTAATAACGGGAATGCTCTAATCCTCCTCCTAGCAAAACTTTCGTGAAATCCAATCAAAACTTGTAATGTAATGACCCAAACTATGGATAAAATATCAATCCAATCAAAACGTATAATGTAATGACCCAAACTATGGATAAAATATCCACCCAATCAAAACTTATGTAATGACCCAAACTATGGATAAAATATCGATTATAATAAAGACTCTCATTTCAGAAATAAATTTGGTAGTGTAAAAGCCTCTGGAATAACGTGAACAGGAGTAAACTGATCTGGGAGGGGGGGTCAGATGTGGAAGTAACTTTGGTCTTCCAGATGAAGATCTCAATATAACAACAGAAACTGTTGTCCACATTTAGTTCCATCCAACAGCTGCAATCCATAAGTCATATTTCTGACATTTTTAAAGACGTTACTTATTGTGTAATTATTTCACAAAGTAACTCAAAATTGTAAATATATTAATTAGTCAGCTATCAGGATGCTTACAGAATTCTGGTCTGCACATTGTCCCTTTTCTTCATACCATTGGGTGATAGTAACAATTACATTCGTTAACTATTTCCTTGTTTCCCGTATTTGCTAATGAATAACTTGGTTACTAGGAGCATTGGGCACAAGTTATTTCATCGTCTGTGGATCATCAAAATTTATAAATCTAAATTTTGTGCAACGAAAGGTAAGAAAGTCATTGAATTCGAGCAGCGAGGTTAGAAGCCTTTTAGTCCAGAATGTGCTACCAGCGTTTGCAGTAGCCAGATGATATAAATATTTACATGGGAACGAAGCTCAACTTCGTATATACCGTAGTATCTTCCATTGATATCTTTGATATAACGTTCACAATGTAGAATTCGACGTTTGCTACGGAATAAGATATTTGAACAATTTTATGATTCAGTTGTATTTTGTTCATGTTAATACTTTGTAAGCAACTGCAGTACAAACAAACTGTTAAAATGTTTTTCAGTAACATAAGAAATTATAATAACAGAAATGTTAATCCTAGCAAATGCTGAGTAAAATATTACTTCTGCATAATGGAATTCGAAGTGTTTAATAATCCGTATTATACAAAGGAATCTAACCCAGTAATGTTACTGTTACTATCTGGTCGTTTGATAATTTCCGGTATAAATTCTTTCCGAGGAACTTCAGCGATACAAGTCCTTTCTTAATTAAAACTAGTTTATTCTTTCTCGATACAACTTTGTAATACACAGTCACTTTAACTTAACTACTTTTATAAACACACGCCATAATTCACACACTTTATTTACGGTGCCTACTGCTCGCTCGACTCAATTATCAATTATTTCTCTTTAATCTATCTCCGGCTTATATCCTAAAAAAAAGAGGTCGTCTAGCAAACGCTGGGACATTCGTGAGGTTGCCCGTTAAGTCACGATCCTTCTAGAAACTCCAACGCGCATGCTCCCAGCGGCACATGACTTCCGCTTTCTTAACACTACTGTATCGACAAAACTGTATGTTTTCCCACACAGGGCCATACTTACAGTGAAGATTAGTATTATTTTCTTTTTTTTTACAAAGTACAGTAGCTTTTAATTCACTGGTACCTCCGAAGTTGTGTAGGTAGGATTATCGTCAGATTACTTCAGCTTTTAAATAACCTCAGGCTTGGTGTAAGCGTAGCTGCTCCATTTGAATTATTGTACAGAATTTGTATTGTTTGTAAAATATAAGATTGTATTTATAGAAAGTGTAAAAGGTTAAAGTCACGAAGTTTATGTTGATGTGGTATATATAACGAAATCGTAATTATTATAGTTCTTGGAATGCTCCTTTTTATTTCGTCAATAAATTATTTCATTTTTGATAAACGTGTCAGGATTGTGTAGTTTTGTTTTATTTCAGTTGAAAACGGAATAAAAGGGATTGAAATCTGGAAGCCAGTTCATTGCGTCATATATTGTTTTATCATAGCTGCGAATTTTATGGCCCTTTGTTGAATATTAAAGGACAAAAAACAAACAAAACGAATAACATATTAGTTTGCATTGATGGAAGCCGAGTTTTGTGATTTGCCCATTAGTTCCTGTAAAATCAGTAAAGTAGCGTAGATAATTTTTTTAATCAAGTTTCTAATGGAAGTGGCACTTCAGAGAAACCTGATCAGATGTAATATGTTGGATGAACATTGTCTGCCCTAATATAATTGATATATCTTACGTAACTGACAGTAAAAACGTACAGAACTTCATTTCTAATTCAACGGGCTATGACAAATGGTATATAAATTGTTAGTTTTGAAATTCATTATTTTTTACACGGATCGGTTGACGACGTAACCAAGGTCGTCTCGTGAAGCTTGGAGTGGGTAGGGATTGCCGATTTTGGAGTTGCCACACAGTGAACATAATAAAATTTTAGTTATTAACATTCCCATCGTCATAAGCATCAGACCCAACCTGAACAATAATCACACATTCCTCTAATGGGGTTAAGGGACTTATTCCTCGAACGGTTTATTATTATTATAGCTCAGTTTGGTGTTTAATTGTTATTTTAAACATCACATTTTCCTGCACTTTTGCGAGGGAAAGAAACGTAAATGAATACAATTTAGATGAAGCCAGTGTGAGCTCCTAAAAGAGCGAGATTTAACCCAGTCATTTTTCTTGTTTCTCCGGCACAGAAAAAAAAAAAACATTTTTCTTCACACTAATAACTTCTCAACTGAAATTTAGTTTAGTTTTATCTCGCAAAGACTTTCAGTAAAAAGTTTTCCAAGTAATGTACTCACAGTGTGTTAACTCGTTTCAGTCATTAACCAAGTTATTGTTAACTCAATAGCTGCCAAGGTTTATTTTCAGGTGCACAGTAAAAATTAGTACCTTTGTCACCAAACATGCCCTGAAGGTTATAGCCTTGCAAAGTTTTCTGCACTTCCATGAGAATGTCTTCTCCAGTTGTTGTTCCGTGCATGCTGCAAACGGATGCCAACTTTTCTGTGATCTGAAAGTGCAAATTAACACCACGAATGAACACGAAAAGTTGTGACGTACTCGAGAGATCAGTAGACTCATCCAGCACCAGAGAATACCACAAGAAGTTCCTAGCTTTCTCGCGTATCTGTAACACCATGTTCTCTCCAAGTTCTTCTGTTCTCTGCACAACTGAACTTGCTGAAAGGCTGATACTTCCAAACAAATAGGCTTTCTCAGGACACAAGTCATTTGCTGTTTCCATCATACACTCTTTGATGAAGTTGCCGTCAGTAAACGGTTTTCCTCGCTCTGCTATCTTATGCACTATTTTGTAACTTGTACGAGTGACAGATTCATTTTCAGCAAACATTCTCGTGAAGAGATTCCTTTGAGATTCCAAAGTACGTTTCATGAACTCAACTTTCTCAGAACACAACTTTCCAGAAAACTTAGTATATGTTGACAGATGTTTTATTTCATAGTGATGCCGAAGATTGTACTCTTTCAAAACGGCAACACTTTTGTTGCATATCATGCAACTAGTTTCTGGTTGTTTGTTTCCACAAAGAAGTACTTTTCTCCCCATTCTTCATTCAAAAGGTGACACTCAGAATCTACTTTTCTTTTCTTAGAAGCCATAACATTGGGTGAAGAAAACAGGATTTGAACATGAAAAACAGTTGTTTATTTACACATTGAATAGTCTACCAAAAAAGTTTTAGAAAAATAATAATTTTTCAAAATTTTTTTGACATGTATATAAACATGACAAACTAAATATAAATGGTTCATGACATTAAATTACGTTATTACGTAATTGGTTTAAAAGTTTTTTCCCGATAAGTTATTTTATTAAGCAAATTTTATAATTTGCCAATGTATTTAACATTTATTATGTAAGTTAATTAGAAGAGCTTCATAAAAAATAATTAAGATCATATTTAATAAAAATATTAAGAATCTTAATAGGCAAATATAGTATTAAGAATTTGATAGTAATTTAATTAAAATCTTAGTTAATTTAATTAAGTCGTTTCTTGAGTGTATAGCGATTAAAATATAGGGCTTAAATAAATATCAAAGTTTGAAAATGTTAGATGCTTACCTCTTGTG